CCTTTCATAATGATGCATGATAATTAAGCAGGTGAACTGCAGATTTTGTCGCAAGCGCATGGAAAAGTCCAGATAATGCTGAAGAGAAACATGACAAGATAGTTTTAAAAAGGTGATATGCACATATTGAAGCATCTGCTTTTTACTGATAAGATCTTTAGTAAGAGAACGTAACCTCTATAAGAAGGACATAAAGTAAAAAAGAACTCATGTCTGTTGTCTTCGTTTCGTAGTCTATCTGTCTTTGTTTAACACAGCGAAAAGTTCTATTAAAATTATTTTAAATTCAACTAATACCCATATGTTACAATTAATGATTTATGTTAATTATGATCAACTATATGTAAATTTGTTACTTAGTACCTATTCGCTTAAGAAAGAAGATGTAATCATTGCATGTCGAGTTAATAATGCTAGACTCATATTTTTTCTTCTCAACAAGCCCCTGGCAAAATTACCTAAACAAATGTTATGCTCATTCCGCTAATTGTTTCTCAAAGGCAACCAACGTTACCGTCTATTTAAGATTTAATTGCCATATATGTGGAAAAGGCCGTTTCTTATCACCCTTGGAAAAATACGTATCGTCATTTAAATGTGCTAGGTGTTATCATAAGTTTGAATTCAGAAGATATGGCAAGTGTCTGGTTTTCCGAGATCACGTTTACTTCCCCCGAGGCTAAATCAAAGTTAGAAGGCTTTGTCGAGGTAGACTCGAATCTTACGATATCACTATATCCTTCAGACATGATTCATTTAAGTATACATATACAAACAGGAGAGACATTTCACTTTCTTGAACATATTTGCAAATCATAGGAAGTTCATGCATATATTATGCCCCAACTGGGTCTTTGATGGAAATGAAACAAAATACAAAGTGCCGTGTGCACATTGTTGGGCAGGCTCAACCCATTTCTTTTATAGTGAGCACGTTGTCATTGTATTCGATCACAAAATATGCCCACCTGTCGTTGGATTGGCATGATGAAAAAACACTCAAGAGCATGTGTGATTTAATTGTGAAGGTGTATTTTAGAGTGGGAATATAGCCAAATTAACCAACTAATGTCTGTAAACAAAGTGGAAGTTAAACGATTACAGTAATTGAATAATATTTTGGTGAAATTAATGTATCCACAAATTCAAATAACATTATTCTCTTCAACAGAGGTGTCTATTACACATTATTTTTGGTTTATAACTATACACTCTGTTTTTTATCCGTTCGGATATTTTGGATATGTCTTTCCTTTAAAATGGCCCAACCCCAGAGTTAGCTCCCTCTAATAAACGTCCATAGTATGGAATGACAGGGGGGAATGAAATATTAATAGCATCAACTACGATTCGTAAAATGACGAAAGACCTGGGTGGTGTAGGTAAGTTTATTATTTGACATATGCTATAGCATAAATTAACATTGTTTTGAGATATGCCACTCACATGCTTGTTTTTTTGTTTTTGTTTTTTTACAATCATTTGGTTATTGTTAACAGTATTTTGCAGTTTTATTTATTGCTATATAAAGTCGAAACTCGTTATCTCGAAATTTAGGGGAATGTTGAAAATATTTCGACTTATCCGAATTTCGGCTAGAACGAATAAGGTTGACGACATCAGTTTCATGGCGTTGATTAAGGTTGAACAGAGTAAGGGTGCGATAGCACGGTACACTTTGGTACAAACAGCGTGTTTTTTATCTATTCTTTGAAATGACAGTAAACAGAAACAAACACATTTCTACTTTCTCATTTTATTGTATATTCATCCAAACAACAAAATATGTAATAACAACACCAATAAACTATATTTGCAATGACGTCGTTCCCTCCCGCACACATGTACACAATCCTTACTGATGAAGCACACACAGATAATATATATTACGAAATGACAATAAAACGAAAATAACATTTTCTTTTGATGCGCTACTAGAACCGAGGTATGAAGCTACAGATCATACTAATATGACTTCACTATCAATAAATAAACCTATGAAAAACGCGGCACTTGAAAGTTTAAACCTGTTATAGAAAATATTATTCAAGCTCTAGACTTTGCATATTAAGCACAGAAATAGATTCTATCAAGGAAAAATGCTTTCAGCATTTTTCGTCGCAGAACTGAATCTGGCAAAGTCCTCGATCACAGTCATTTAGTGTACAGGCTCAAAAATAGTATCTCTAGGAATTATGGGGATCGGATGTCGTCAAAATGTTCGTGCCGGTTTGATGGTTTAATTTTATCGTTCCTGCAGATGCAAGCAACCAAATGCTAAATTAGTTCATGTCATGTGTAATAGCGTTATTTGTTCAGCGTCCGTACAGGTATATCATTTCTATAGGATGGTGACACTAATTAAGAAGCCCAACTTTTGATTGGATAATTAAACTGGTAATCGCCAGGGACCAAGTGTTGAGTGTACGATTGACCGATACGCCGTAATTAGTCATGTGTTACGCACAGGTGACTTTCTGCTCTGTGTCTGTATTGGGACTTTAAATTATTTCGACTTCAACGGAATTTCGATTCAAACGATTTTGAGAAGACGAGTTTCAGCTGTAATTTATATTCAATAAATTCACACAAGTTTTCCAATAAAGCATATTCCTGGTTAAAAGACAGCAATATAAAATTAATAAATGATTAGATTTAATAATGCACATCCTGACAATGCGGTATATTAAATATCGGCAAATATATGTTTTGTTTTCATTTTCGGATAAAGAGCAGTATTTGCTTCATATATTTTTTCATGATATATACATAGCTTACAGAGATCAATTTGCTAAATATTGTATATCTATCGTGGGACTTATCCTTCGGAAATCACTGTAATATTGTTTACCAATTTGGTCCTGATTTCGCCTTCCTGTTACCATTTGTCCTTTGTTAATATTGTCTAATTCGGCACACCCGCTTCCGTCTGGGGGTGTTGATATATGAGCTGGTTCGCATGGCTATATCCGGAACAAATTCCTCTATTAGGTGCACTGTTGTTTAAACATTGAGTCTACCATGTGTATATAGTCCTGACTCTAACCTTTCCGATGTTATTTGTTGTCTCATAAAGAAGCTTGGGACGGGAGATTTCTCTCACGTGTAAAGAACACTGAGATCAATGCGAACCTTTCACGTGAACGAGATAATGACGTACATAGCTTGAGATATACGCGATGTCTATGTAAATCACCATCTTAAGTAGTATAGCACTAAATCGTTTAGATTGATTTAAAGTACAAAAACATAAGTACGTATCACCCTTACTACCTAACTTCATTTTTGCGGCTTACAAAACGAAAACTTATAGATCCTTTATTGCACAAGAGAAAGAATATTGACACACTATTGGCTTAATTGGGAAGAGCACCCTTGTGGTTTGTGTTGGGTTCCGTTTTACATCCTCAGTCAAATAAGTATAAAGTAGTGCAACATCCAAAATCTCTGTTCAATGTCCCGCAACAATGCAATGTACAAAGGTACGGGTGTTGCAGAATGGCAATTTCCTTTCGGGCAATAACAATGTTTTATAATATGTTGTATTATGTCAAATATTTTGATTTATTTATCACTTAACATAAACACTGGTTGTTTAAAATAGGCTAATGTCATTGTTTGATGACATTGCTTTCTTTTCATATCTGGATTTATGCCATGGACATCGAATAAAATACTTTTGTTCAGATCAATGACGAACCTGGTCTTATAGCTTGTACACATATTTGCTGTATTTGGTATTCTATCTTCGATCTGTTACTTTGTATTTCGATGATTCTTGCACTGTAGAAGTCCTGATATCATTCACACCATTGTGTCCTGATTTTAATGAGGAAAAAACTACAAATATTGTTTACTAATTTTTAATTGTGTTGGTAAAATTGTTGTTTTGGTTTAGTCGTATAGAGGATATGTTATTTAGTCGGATTTGCATTAATGAAAAAATGTCATTGCCAGTAATTATTCCATATCAACACATCATTGCATAGGTTACCTGAGACACCATTTTTAAGTGATATCTTTCTGAAATATCGTTATCCGGACAATGAATAGGATATCATAACAAATTACAATTTTACACAGGGAAAAAGGTTTGGAATAAAGTCTACATAACAGGGGTTCCATGTGTCCCAATGAAGTCAGAGAATGGGTGATGTTCTAGTCAATATATACAGTATCATAATGAGAATGAAATAACAACAATGACAACGGCAACAACACCTACAACAATGAAAACGACAACAACAGCAACAACAATGAAAACGACAACTACACCAACAACAATGAAAACGACAACTACACCAACAACAATGTAAACGGCAACTACACCAACAACAATGAAAACTACAACTACACCAACAACAATGTAAACGACAACAACAGCAACAACAATAACAGCAACAATGACAACGACAGTAACAACAACAACACCATCAACAATGAAAACGACAACAACAGCAACGGCAATAACATTGACAATAACAACAACAATGACAAAATCAACAACAATGGCAACAACATCAACAACAATGGCAACAACAACATCAACAACAATGGAAACAACAATGATAACAATGACAACAACAATAACAACAATGACATCGATCACAACAACAATGACATCGATCACAACAACAATGACAACAACACTAACATCAAAAACAATGATAACGATAGTAACAACAATGACAACGACAATAACAACAATGACAACGACAATAACAATGACGAAGACAATAATAACAACAAAAATGACATAGAAAGGACAATGGCAACAACAATGACAACATCACTAACACCAAAAACAATGATAGCGATAGTAACAACAATGACAAAACCAATAATTACAACAAAAATGACATAGAAAGGACAATGGCAACAACAATGACAACGTCAATAAAACTAACAATAATGGCAACGAAAACAGCAACAATGACAACATCAATGTCAACGGCAACAACAATAACCACAGTAATAACAATGGCGAAGACAATAACCACATGGATAACGACAACAACAACGACAACAACAACAATAACAACAACATCAACATTGGCTACGACAATAACAATAAAGATAACTACAATAACAACAATGACAGCATCAATGACAACGACAATAAAAACAATGACAATGACAAGAACAACATCAACGACAGCAATTCCAAAGACAATAACAACAACAATTACAACAACACCAACAACTATGACCACGACAATAACAATGACAAAGGCAATGATTACAACAAAAATGACAACGACAACATTAACAACGAAAACAGCAACAATGACAACGATAATAACACCAAAAAGTATGACAACGACAACAACAATAACCACAGCAATAACAATGGCAAAGACAATAACCACAAGGATAACGACAACAACAACGACAGCGACAATAACAACCACAACATTGGCTACGACAATTACAATATAGATAACGACAATAATAATAAGGACAGCATAAATGACAACACCAACAACAGCAATGGCAACGACAATTACATTGATGGCAACGACAATTACAACAACAAGGATAACGACAACAACAACAACAATTGCAAAGACAATAACAATAAGGATAATGACAACAACAACGACAGCGACAATAACAACCACAACATTGGCAACGACAATTACAATATAGATAACGACAATAATAATAAGGACAGCATAAATGACAACACCAACAACAGCAATGGCAACGACAATTACAACGATGGCAACGACAATTACAACAAAAAGGATAACGACAAAAACAACAACAATTGCAAAGACAATAACAATAAGGATAATGACAACAACAACAATGACAATAACACCAACATCAATGACAACGACAACAGCATTAACGATAATTACAACAAGGATAACGACAACAACAACAATGACAGCATCAATGACAACGACAACAACGACAATTACAACAACAATGACAACGAAAATAACAACGAAAATAACAACAACGAGGATAACGACAACAACAGCAACGACAAAAACAATGACAACGAGAATAAAAATGACAACGATAACAGCAAGAACGACAATTACAATGACAATGATAACGACAATAACAGGGACCAAGACAATGATTACAACAGAAATGAAAACGACAATAACACGATGACAACATCAATGACAACGACAACGACAGCAACAACAAAAATGACAACATCCATGACAAAAACGGTAACAACATTAACATTTACAACGACAGTAACAACAACAATGAAAATAAGAACAACAACGGTTTTACAGAGAGTGCAAATAAAGTAAATGGAATGATTTAATCAATACGTGAAGGAAACCGGTATCATTCCGAATGAATACTACTATTTATTTACCACATCATGGTGCATATATTCACTTTTGAAATATGTCTACATGATGAAAATGAACAGGTTTGCACGTAGTGACATGATATGTTTACTTAAACAGCTGCATTTCTTACAAACTAATTTACATTCGGGAAATATTTATAACAAATATGCCAATACATTCATAATTTTCAGTTGCATACACCTATAATATAAATGGAAATTTCATGAAGGAGGCGTTATTTTGACCCTTAAATTGAGATGGAGGTAGAAATAGCAAAAAATAGAGATGATATTTCTCCGTAATTACCATGAGCGACATACCAACATAATACTTAGTGGAAATACATATGCCTTACCTAACGATCAGCAGTGTACTTTCGTAATGGAGGATGCAACACGACCCGGGAACTATTTGCCTACATCCAGCCTCAATTACTAAGTCTTTTGATGTGAAATGATTTATGAGCGAAGAAAGCAGGTGATAAATAAATACAAACTAGCATCATAAAATAAACAGACCTCTTCTTACATGAAAGATTACGAGTGATGAGGTAGCCACATCAGACAATAAACTCTAATCATCTCTGATTGCTCTTTGATTTTACACTCTGCTTCAAAATACATATTGAATGAGTGAGGATGGCCTGAAGTGGGTTTGGTAGTTGATGTCTTGTTTACAACTCTCTTTGATGTCGCGAGTCTGTTTGAATGATATATGTTTCTGAATTGGTAACACTTGGCGTGTTGAAAGAGACATGCATGTGTCGTTAGCATATCTGCTGTTATATTTGCATGTGTCCCCAATCAATATAAAATGAAGCTGTATCCAGTCATTTACGCCCTAGCGTCGCCAAATTAAATACCAGATTAAACAGTAGTGGTAAATACTTTCTCATTAACACTCCAGCGTACCAGCGTACTTCAGACGTCCCAGTAAGTCTCTCTTTTGTGTGTACATCCACCTACCGCAGGTTATATGTATGTAATTCATGATTAATAACTGGAGAGGAGACATGCTGGCACAACATAACTGATTTCCACTTCACATAAGAAGACAAAGGAACGAAAACGTCGGGCAAAATAGTCACGGTCGTCAAACCTGTAAAATGGCAAGGAAAGTAACATGCGGTGACCCAAATTTGGTCGATTTTGTTCGTTATCTGTGTTTATGGACGTTTGAAGAAGCAAGTTTCAGTGGTCATGATTTTACTGGTTTTTTATTTGACATTAATAATAAATAGTATAAAGAAAACAAGAAAGAAAACATAAAAGCATTGATTAATTGACAGGTTTTTCGTTTCTGTGACTCCTCCCGTGTCTAAGTATCGCCTCACCGACGAACGACAGTGTTCTGGAGACGTGACATAAAATAATGTCTAATAGGTGGTAGTGTATGAATACGTACAAGTTAACTTTAGAATTTTGAGAGATTTGTAATCTATTAATCTATAGGTCTTGAACTTAAAGAACGGCTGACCCTGTGGACTACAGATGGGTTGCCACTATTGTGGTTACAACAGATCTTCATTTTCTAAAACAGCTAACATGTTGATTACAAATCACGTTTTGATCGTTACCATGTTTGAACTGCTCTCTCCCATTGCTTGATTATACTTTCTTATAATTTTTAATCACATAATTGTTTCATTTTGTCCAGTTAAACAAGGTGTCAACATTGTTTATATATATAATAATGTTTTCTATGGAGTAGATTTCAAATATTGCAAATGTCTGAAAATGAGATACTGTATGTCATGATGATGATATATATAGCATTTGCTAGTTATATCCGAAGATATGAAAACGTTACTCTGCGTCTACAATTGCTTATGTGACCTTATATTATTTTCTATATGTAAATATTTCTCTCATGCTTTTAACAAAGACAGCAATAATACAATAAAATATTGGTGTGGATAACTTCTTAGCTGATGTTCTATTGGTTCAGTAGTGATGCTCTTGCATCGGACATGGAATCTTGGGAATCCAACTGGTGCCCTATATTTTTCCCACAATAATGTTCTGTGTGTGTTTCCATTCGATGCAACAAGAGTTATTAACATAAGCTTGTTTTGCAATCATTAATAATGATTGAATAATGAAGTTTACATCTAAACCCCTTTGTGACCCATTTGTTTCTCCGTAATAACTAATAATGGCCCCCTAAGATCAATATCGAAACGATGGAGTGCTTAATATTATAGAGGTTTGCTTGAGTGTTGTCATAATAAAAGAGGCGACGCTTACCCTTCCGAAACTACTCGTCTTATTCACACCTAACGTTCAGAAATACGAGAATATTACATATTCCCGAATCATGTATGAGGACTTTTCAACTTTGGATGTCGTCTCTTTGTACAGAAAGGACATTTTTATGGAGCTGTGGTAAACAGTTCCTTTCTGTAACTTAGTTGCGCGAAAAGATTTATGTAGAAGATGGAAACATACAAAAACAAAGAGGATACTTTAGTAATTATTCATAGAGACTTATTATGAATTTCACTTGTGAAAATATCCATCTGCTCCTACTGTACAGACAATACTTTTGTTATTATAATGGATGTGTGGGTGACCCTAGTAAATCATCCACCCACATAAAAAAGTGAACAATATCATAATAATAATCCAAGTAGAGTCAAATTTTACAGTCTCTTATGTAATCAGCCATAAAGCACAGACTTATATTCTGTTTTATATCAAATTCAATGATCTTCCAATTCCTTTAAGTAGTTATTTCACAGGTTTCCGGGCGTGGAACTCTTTCGTAATGGTGCCGCGTTTCATGGAAACAGCCATATCTACTTAACCTTGTGACGATTATAAAATTGCTTTGTTCTTCGCAAACGATTGTTGTAGAGTCGTCTGTGTGTCATTATGAGGAGCCTTATGTTTTTTCTGTTACGTAACAATTGAACATGTAAGGAGCACTGAAAAATACGTCTGTGCCACATTTTATATGTCGTTTGGATAAGGACGAATATATCTGTAGTTATGAATTAGTGCAGAAAATGTAGTTATAATCACTTAAGTGACATTTGTAATGCAACACATTCTTGACAGGAGTTTCGCCAATTTTTCTTTCTTCTTCATCACATCTCGTCAGAAATGGGATACTCCATCATCTAAACATTTTCGCAATGAGCACAACATATACACAATGTTTCCAAATTAATATATGCTTTGTTGTTTCATTGCCAAGCCACGAATTATCGTTATTTTATTATTTCCATTGGACAAACTTTGCGTGTGCACGTAGGTCCCATTACTGATGATAATAGTTATAGGTTATTATGTATATTTGTAAAGTACATATCTATATATTATCACATCTATTTGTATAGTACAAACCCCCTTACTAACATAAAAACATCCTTTGATATTGGTAACCTGAGAAATACGAGATGTTGTTTCACAACTTATTTGATTATCATCACAGGCGAATGGCAGTAAGGTATCAAGACCTTTATAATGTACAGCACTGGTGAAGATTTGACTGGATAGGTGGTAAATTTAAACAAACACTGCAATTAACACACGCGCACTAGTATATGTATCGTCCGTTTGAAGATAAATTCGTTAAACGTTCATTATGAGTGGCTGTTTAGTTGTGTTATCTAGATACATGTGTTATGAATATCTTCAACAACTATTTTATCCCCTAATTAGTTGCTGCGTGTTATATTCTATGACAAAGAAGGTTACTGAGGGCGTTATTTTGTTTCTTTCATTTATAGTGGGAACGTGAATATCTCTGTTTAGATCATTAGCAAACAGATTAAACACCTTGATCTACGAAAACGATGAAAATTCTTGCCCATTACAGAAATTACCAAAGCTTTATGATAAGAATTGTTCGCGCTTCCATATAACATAAAGAGGTATCAAACTTCATCATTGTAATAAACGTTTAAAAATATGTCGATGTTTGCTTTTATACCCGTAAGATCTTAAAACACTTTATAGCAAAATTATCACTTTGACACTTCAACAACACATATGCTTAAAAGATCTATCTTAAGACAAAAGATTTTGAGTTGCGATTTTATTCCTAAATGCGTAATTCCTATTACAGAAAACGCTTGTGAATATATACATATATATCGAAATAGAAAATAAACTACCACTGTCTTGAGCGAACACTTATGTATATATATATCTGTGTGGGTGGGGTGTGTGTGTGTGTGTGCGGGGGTGTGGGTGGGGGTGTACATGTGTGGGTTGGGGTGTGAAGGTGTGGGGAGGTGTGTGTGGGGGTGTGTGTGGGTGTGTGTGTGGGTTGGTGTGGGTGTGTGTGTGTGTGTGTGTGATGGTGTGTGATGGTGTGGGGGTGTCTGTGTGTGTGTGTATGTGTGGTATGTGTGGTGTGTGTATGGTGTGTATGTTGTTTTGAAAATAGTGATAGGATTGTGTTTTAAAGGCTAATATTAGTCATCCCAGAAAAAATCAGAACTTACAATTGATAGTTCCATAATAATTTATGATAAATTATAAAGCAATGGTTTAGAAACTGTTACGAGACAAAATTAATATGTAATTGAAAAAAGAGTAAATCATTTTCATACTGTCTGATGTGACAATTTGCTGGTGGCATGAGTCTATGTCTAGCAAATCATTGAAAACTGAATTGGAAGTGACTACATTGTGATATTGTGATAAATTTTATTTCAGCATTATTTGACTGACACATTTTAGTGTTTAACTAATATTGCATTGTTTGATTTATAAATAAATCTCCCTCTATTGATTTATCATCTTCCTTGCATAAAACTTGCCAAGCCGTAATTGCGTACGAAAACATATCAACTGGAACGATCTAATCTAAAAAGTAAAGTGTCCAGATTGTATGATATTGCTGCATCCTTTTGAAATTATTACCAAACATTTTGATACTGACTATGTGACTATGCAGTATTCGTGGTTGATGCTCGTTCGTATACCTATTGGTTGCGTTTTTGTATACCTTTTTCGTATTTGAGAACTTTACATAATTGGGGTTGTCCATGCAACAGAAGAAACTTACTTTTCTGGAAGACCCGGTCCCATGCCTCTTGACCTTTATCAGGTGTCTCGATATATTTTATATAGTTCGACTCTGGATTACGATCGACTTGACATTGGTGTATTTCTTAGTTTGGTAGTTTTTCGTGTAAGACAGGACTGGCAATCGGGAGTGATATCATCAGGAAACAGTTCACTATAGCTTTCCAATACTAACAAATAATCTGGATCCTCAGCATATACTATGGAAATATACGTTTGAGTAATCCGAAATACTACATTATTACAAAATGAAAATATGTTATTCTGTAGCCATTGATGGGTTTTGTTTCATTGATAAGAAAATAGCCGAACCAAAATAGTTCACAAATAAGATACATAACGTTAACTGCAGAACGTTCAAAAATCCTTGTCCTTTTCACTTCAATGTTTTAGTTTTCCCGTAAAATGTTGGAAAACCTTTACACTAAAAGTTAAAATCTATTTATGTTCAAATTATTCAATTTTTTATTTCATTGCTTCAAGGCGTGTCAGGATTGGATGATGGAAGAAAGCCAGAGTTTCAGTTCATGGCGACTGTTCCACGTAGGTCTCCCATCAGTGACCCAGAGATACAAGGCAAGTGATAAAGACAGACAAACACCTTAAACACTCGGCCGTCATGGCCCCATGTTTTTCAAATTTTCTGGATAAAACACATCGCGAACACAGGGAAACCATAATACTTGGTGTAAACACTCATTTGTTGATATCGCTTGGAGCTGTGAACCGATTAAGGTTCTCATTGCTTTAATCGCGTCTTCAAAATGTAGTATTTAGCATGAATTCACCATGACAGAAGACATGATATCATAAAGAATTTATACTAAATTTTATGCAAATATGATACAAAGGATTTTTTTACTGATATTTGTAAAACCTTATGATAAACAACAAAAGTGAGTGTAGGTTTTTATGTGATTTATAAAATATGTCATGATGAAATTTTAGCTCCATTGGCTTTTCCAGAAGCGAGTATACAGTGTTTTAAATGATATGGGCAAAAAAAACAACACATTATGCGTCTTACTGCATGGATACATGAGGCGACTAATGTGAGATAACTACATAATTGTAGTTTTTTTCTATTTCTCCAGTTTATACTTAAGATCCATTTGATTGTTTTATGCTTTTGTGGAGCTTGCAATAGACAAGTCGTCTTCAAATGAACTGAATGACCATAAACAACGAACTAAACCTGACATGTTGAAACTACATATGTTGTGAACGATATTGTTACAGTCACTGAATAACTCTGTATTCAATTTAAAGAGCATTACCCAGAACATTATGACCAGCTATAAAGGGAAAGTATCTGAAAACTTCATCCTTTTTATTTTTCAATAATTGCTAGGTTTCGAGTGTTGACGTAGAAAATTGGTCGAAAATGAATATGTTACTTTCAAAATATATCATTTGAAACCAGATTTTTTTCGGAGAGGAAATACGCAATGTTCAAATAATATGAGTCATTACTAATAGCTGGATGTAAATGTAAAACCGATATATATTATGTATATTCCCATGGTTAGCTGAACACAATCCCAATTATTGCCAGAAAAGTTTTAATATACGACCTTTCAATACTAGATTAATAATTTATAAAACAAAAGAAAATATAATTCATTTCCTTTCTGTCCCTGAAATACATAACTTGCTCTATGTTTGTTTGTTTTTATATGATGTGAAATAAACACTTGTGAAGTTAAGCACAGTGCCTTCTATCCACTTTATACAAGTCATTCTGACACTAAAAATGATTATGAATTTATTGGTATCATAGTATAAACTATTGCGCTTTTCAATGGATTTGTTTATGTTATAATGTATTTTTACTTGTAAATTCTTCGAAAATGGAACAAGTGAAAAGTGAATATGGCGTTCAGTGATGCTAAAGGCCTCCCTCCGACACAGAACATCCCCAAAACAAAACGTCTCCCTCCGACACAGAACACTCCCAACACAAAACGTCTCCCTTCAACACAGAACACTCCCAACACAAAACGTCTCCCTTCAACACAGAACATCCCCAAAACAAAACGTCTCCCTCCAACACAGAACACTCCCAACACAAAACGTCTCCCTCCAACACAGGACACTCCCAACACAAAACGTCTCCCTTCAACACATAACACTCCCAACACAAAACGTCTACCCTCCGACACAGAACACTCCCTACACAAAACGTCTCACTGTGACACAGAACACAAGACATTTTCCTTTAACACAGAACATCCATAACTCAAACGTCTTCCTTCGACAAAGAACATAGCTAACACAATTATTGTTTCCTCTGACAAAGATCACCCCAACAGATCACATCTCCTTCCGACACAGATCATCCCCAACACAAAATATCTCCCTCCGACACAGATCATCCCCAACACAAAACGTCTCGCCCCAACACAGAACTGCCAGCACAAAACCTGTCGTTCCGACACAGAACACTCCCAACACAAGACATATTCATCTAACACAGAACATCCTCAACACAAACGTCCATCTTCAACAAAGAACATCTCCAACACAAAACGTTTCCTCTGAAACATATCACCCCAACACAAATCTCTCTCTCTCTCTCTCTCTCTCTCTCTCTCTCTCTCTCTCTCTCTCTCTCTCTCTGATACAGAACATACCTTACACAAACGTCTTCCTTCGACACGAAAACAATCTCTATCACAAAACGTCTTCCTCTGACATAGATCACCACAAAAGAATACATCCCCTTACGACTCAGAACGTCCCCCATCACAAAACGTCTTCCTCTGACACAGATCACTACAAAAGAATACATCCCCTTACGACTCAGAGCATCCCCCATCACAAAACGGCTTTCACCACAACACAAACATCTTCCTATGACCCATGATATCACCAAAACGTTTTCTTCCAAGACAGAGCATATCCAAGACAAAACGTCCACGCAAATAATAACTGAAGGCTTCTGGCGACATTTTGTGTGGGTGAACCTAGACAGAATGAAACTACCAACAAATATTTTTGTTGTTTTAAATGGTATGAGTTAGACTTAGTGTTTTCGAGATTACCTATGTAGGTAAAAATAGAATCTATTGTTATCAATGGACAGAACATTTTTCAATTTTCATATTAATATAAAACATTCACAAATAACCGTCGCTTATGCGTATATGTCGCTTGAAAAAATAGCTCAAGACAAAACACCAAACATAAGTTGTATTTTCGATGCTCTTTGTCTTGAAAACTGTTTTGTTGTTGTAATATTCTACCCTGTTTAAAGAAACCAAAGCAGTTGGATATCCGCGTTATCAGCCAAATTTGAAACCTGCTTTATTTTCAATTACTTATTTTGACAACTTAAACAAGTTTTCTTAAGGGTGGGTGGCTATGAGAAAAGATGACATAAACTTTGCATTCTTTACCCAAAGTAAGCAAGAATTTTGGATAAAAAGAGTTAAGAATGACTTGGCACAAATAAATTTAAGTTAGATCCAACAACTGTAAAATATCTAGAATGTCCCTTAATGGGTCGGTCGTTCCAAATTATGAAACAATTACATGAACCAGTGTAGTTGTCTGACATATCGTTGGCAACATCTTGGGCGATTGCCTCATGTAAATATCTAGACAATAAGCCAACGCTTTTCAAAGGGTTATGGTTATTAATATTTGGCAAATATAGACAAACATGTGCCGTCGTTAACAAGCGGTAGGATGATGAAATTGCTTTCTTGTTTCATGGTCATGGTAATTACATTATGTGTTCCGGATATCAGACGGATGCAGGTTGCCTGCTTGATAAAACCAGATCACCTACACGCGGTGGCTGTGATTAACACGAATAAGGATCGTATCAAAGTTGTGTTAAATGCTTGGGATGTTGTCGGACAAAAAGTTAATTGAATACACTAACATAACTATTCAACTCCATTTACCGGCTACTTGGTAATGAAGAACTTGGTACAAGGAATTAGCGTGGCCGCTTGCGCCCTGTGGAGGGACGCGTGCTGTTCACGGTTGTGGAAACGCATGGCTGTTTTTCAGTAATGCGCTCAGGCCTGCATCATATCTTCATAGCTAGGGTACTAGTTATATGAAGGATTATATATATATATAAATCGTACGCGCACGAGCCTCCATCTGCACGCACATAACGGTGATTATACTGCTAAATGATACACGTCTCAACAAAAAAGACACCACTCATCTCGATATAATTGGCGTTTGAAAAAAATATATTATTGGATGCAGAAGATTTTGTTGACTGGTACATGCAGCAATTAGAATCCTTTCCGTTTTTGTTTTATTTTAAACAGAAACAAAGGAGTTATGCCGGAATTGAGAGATTTCCAGCATGAACAGTTGGTAAGAGGCACTGCAGAAGGTCATGAAGGAAATCCTCCCCCCGGTAGTGGTAAATATCCAATAAAGATGTTGTACACAACACAGAGCCAGGGAAGGAAACAATTAAAATTGTGTACCGTATATTTTATGGTTTTCGCAGGAACTCGGAAATACGCTCATACAAAAATCTAAACAGCGTAGAAATTGGCAATAGGCACATGTCCTTCTTTTATATCCAACGTGTGGTGTATTACAATATGGAATATTTTCAATAGACATAAAGGCTGATCAAGATAGATTATTCGAGAAATACAAAACAAAAAATACAAATAATGCAAAGCCAAACTTCAGACAGTCGTTTCTCATCATGAAGTTTTATTGAATGGATAGAAACAAAGAAGCTGACCAAATCAATACCGAAAGTTAGCCAACGGTGGTATTTAGACTCACTTGCACTTGTTAAAAAAGTAGATTAATCATGAATCATTTAGATCTAGGTTTGTCCAGTCTTACCAGCAAACAGACATCTAAGATGTACTAATTGGTTATCAAGCGTATTTTATTGGGTTTTGCACATAATGACCCCGTTAACCTGACTATTTAAACAGAAATCTGAACTTAAATTTAAAGACGAAAATGTATCGAAGATGTCTGTTGAAATAACAAAAAATGAAAAGTTCGAAAGCAACAGATTTTTGTAATGAGTTCCTTTATTCCGTTTTTCACGTGTCTCGGCAATATATACCTTAACAAGTACATGAAGAGATTCTCTCACAGCTTTATGATAAGCCTGATGATTTCAGTTTCTATATGATGTACTTTCCATTTCTGGACAGCAACAATACTACATCCCTAACCTCTGGTGTTTAAATATTGCAGCTGATCAAATGATCCTTGGCGTTTTCAGCAACTGACAGACAACCTCAAAACCTAGGGTTTCTACAGATGCATGTTGATGAAGCTTTGCATATTGGTCTCATAACAAATTCTACTTTCCATACCTGGTGTTTCCACTGTTGTTTACCTAGTTTTCACTTGGGAATTAGTGACTGCTTATTTGGGTTAATCAAGATTCATTTGGGTTAGAGTCGATGAAGCAGACGACTCTCGCCCTTCCGGAACCCCTGGTCTTGTTCAAGTTTTACACTGGTTTCATCGAATATTGGCTTGAGTTATGCTTCCGTTAACGTGTCGGTATTTTCTGTTTTGTTTGTTTGACATTATTTCTACTATCACCTCTTCATTTGATCGCGATAGTATCGTT